TTTCAGTCAACAACTACAATCTTTTACTGTTGAAATTGTGGCTTGCAATTATGGACTTGCAAGATATAGCAGAGACGAGTCTTTCCTTAACAGAGTATGTAACTGGATACGTCACTAAAGCAGAAAAGAGTCATGCACAGGAATTATGGAATGAAGTCAGCAGCTGTGACAACATATAAAGCAGGCCTTTGAAAAATGGACAAAAATTACTGAGCCAAAGAAGTAGGAATATATGAACATAGCAACCGTCTTTAGGAAAGTTTATATATGAAATCAGTTACAGTATAGTACGATATTGTGTACTTGCCTCATAAAAGGAGCAGAAAAATCAAAAACTATTTATATTTAACTAAAATGGATGAATCTTCTGGAGACATTTTTAATCCTAGCATAATTGAAGACTTTTATCCAACGAGACTGAATAACATGGAAGATGCATCTCATTATGAATTTGTTGCTAATTACAAATTTGATGAAATTGGTCAAACTGAAGAAAGAAAATACAAACTTGGATCAAAGCTAGTCCTTCCAAACCATAGGAAATTTAATCCTCTGCAAGAAGCAGAAAGAGATGATTTTTATTACTGACTTATATTTTTATTTGTGCATTTAAGAGATAAGAGCACACGTGTAATGGAAGAATAAACAATGGACAAAGCTTTGAGGCATCACAGAGAAGCATCTCTACTGGCATTGAGAATCGTTTCAACAGACTGCAGAAATTTTTAGAAGCTGGAAGAAAGTAGTCGATGCAAGAAATAAAGCCGGTTTCACTGAAGAACTTCTTGATAACAAGGAAGATGATGAGCCTGATTTACTAGGTGAAATAATGGAAGCAGTAGCTGATATTGCTGACACGCACATAAATGTACCTAATGTAACGGTAGAGCAATGAGAGGCAATGCTTAATTAAGAATTTTTGAGAAAATAAAGAGTCATTTTATAAGTCAAAAAGAATGTGAAGACAATAGAGAATGGATCCAACACTACTTAGATTAGATAATATCAAACCGCTAAGGAAGTTTATTAGTGGTGTAGGTGGAACTGGTAAATCCTTGTTAATAGAGGCAATGAAATGCCTAGATGATGACGTACGGTATCCAAAAAGTGGTGAAATCATATGCGCTATAGTAGCACCAACAGGTAAAGCCGCATTTAATGTAGGTGGACTAACAATACATAGGTTATTTCAGCTACCAATAGAGCATGAGGGAAAGACAGCTGGATATTAGGCTTTGAATAAATAGCTCAGAGAAGGATAAAAATGAAACTTAAAAATTTAAAAATTATAATAGTAGACGAGGTATCTATGGTATCCAAACTAAATCTAGCATACATCGCTTATAAGATATATTTGGAACTGATGGTTTGGATCCAAAAATATTTTATTTGTAGGTGACCATTTACAATTGCCACCAGTTAATGGTAGACCAGTATTTAAAAAAATTAGCAACAAACTAGTAAAAACAAGACTTGGAGCAGCAAATGCAATTAACATATGGAAAGAAACAGTAAAATATGATGAAGTAACAATCAATGAGCAACAAAAAGGAGACAAACTTTCGTTACAATGCTCGATTCTGTTAGTTATGGCTGTCTGACTGATGAAACTATTGTTATGCTTAAGAATCGTGTATTTAAGGTTTCAATACAATAAAAATATTAAGAATTCGAAAGTGAGAAACAAATCCTCCAATTTCAATTATTGTTAGAAAGTCTAGGAACTGAGAAAATAGAATTACCATGTGTTGATGAAAGTGGCAGCATAGCAAAATTTGACAAAAAAACAAGAAAAAATAGAGAAAATTAAAGATCTACCAAGCAAAACAGCTAGTTTAGGAACTGTTTTGTCTGTAGCATTTGGCTGTAGTGTAATGCTAAGAAGCAATATTGACGTGACTGTAGGATTAGTTAATGGTGCCATTGGTACAGTAATGAGTATTTATGCTACACGTATATCAATTAATTTCGATCATATCGATGTACCTTGTGACATAGAAAGGGTTACATTTAGATTTATGCTATCTAAGAATTTGTATATACATAGGAAACAGTTTCCCCTTATACTTTCTTGTGCTATTACTATACATAAACATCAGGGCCAAATCACATGACTTATACTATAATAATAATAGTAAAAATATAAATATAATTTTGATAATAATTATAATAAAATATTAATAATAATAACAAATAATACCTGACTGTAATTGATCATCCTTTGGTCAACCATACGACACTATCACCAACATGTGCGTCCCAATAGCCGATCCTATATTTAGGCACAAAATGGCTGCTCTTCAACCCCATTACCAATACCTTATTTTATATTAATACTAATTTCAAACACATTATAACTACCTGAAGTATTGAGTATAACTAGTATCATGTGATAGAGCCTCTAAATGACCCTCTTTCCCGACTAAATCAGCAAAAAAGTGAGACAGCATTTCCAGTGCCATTTTTTAGTGCCGAAAGAACCTTTAACTCGATCAAGCCTAGCTAGAACTGGTCCTTATCTTCTTTGAGAGTAAAATGTAACTCAAATTGGTACCAAAACCCCTCTTTGCCTGTGTTTTTCCTTCAAGAAGCAACATCATCTAGAGCAGACATTTTTACACGTGAAAAAAACGGAAGCCACCATGCCCAGGGCACCGCCTTTTATACCGCACCTTCTCGTTTATTGCATTGATTGTTGATGGAAAGTGGGTATGGTGTATGGGAGGTCCATCATCTTTAAACAGTGGTTGTTTAATGTGACTTAATTTTACTGCATGTGCAATGTGAGTGTGTGTGAAAACTAGTTGTGCATATCCACCCAGAATTGCTCAATATAAAGAGATCTAACTGCATTCAGGAAGTGAGATTAATGAAGGTATAACGAATAACAATAAATATTGATTTCTTATTGCTATAATGGACAGGGAGAGGGTGTGAAAGAGGTTTACCATTCATCATATTTGACCATCAATTCAATTTTCTGTGACTATCATTTACGTAGGACATAGGGTTAGGAAGGAAGCTGTCATTATCAGATTTTGATCTTGTTTGTGGCTTGTACTACATGTTTATTGCAAATAACAAGTGCTTATGGATCTGGGTGCTACTGACAAATGTTGAAGGACAAGACAAATTTTAGAGTAACTTTAAAAGTTGTCATTATACTTGTACATGTAGTTTCAGAGAAGACAAATTTTAGAGTAACTTTAAAAGTTGTCATTATACTTGTACATGTAGTATCATTCAAGCAGTGATTCTTTACATATAATAATGATCATCATACATGTTAATGCTGCCATCAATACTGTGTGCATTACATACGTTAATGCTTGTCAACTGATGTTGCGCATAATGCTGCCATAAATGCTGTGTGCATTATTAAGTTAATGCTTGCCGGCTGATGTTGCACATTTAAATGATGCTGCCATCAATGCTGTGCGCATATTAAATGCTTGCCAGCTGATGTTGCGCCTCTTTTAGCGATGATTGTTGCAACATGTGCATGTTCTCATTAACAAAAGTACTGTTTGCACAATGGAAATTCTTGATGTACACAATTATATTTTATATTAGGCAGGTCATGAAAGCATCTTAACTGAGAATAACATTATAGTGAGCAATATTATGTCTAAAATGCATGCATGCACATGCATGTATGATCCAATCAGAAATAATTTAGATGCTACCATTATCATTATTTGTTAGTCACATTCATACTTTTTACAGGTACTTGCTTGGCACAAGGACTACAATGTGGTATTAAATAGTGAGGTTTGATGTGATTGGTAATGAAGTTTGTTCACCATTACTATTTGTTCTATTGTTATTATTAGCCTGTGAGTTGACATTGCTTGCTTTTGATTTGTTTCTATTACTATGCTTTATAAGTAATTATAGCTGGAAATGATTTGCTGATTCTGCAATACCTTTGCTTGACATTGGAATGTGCAATACAATTAAAAGCAATTCTGTATTTAGAGTACTGTAACTAAATTAATTTATTTATGAAATGTAACTTCTTGTTTTGTTGCAGCACCTTGATTAGTAGTTGTATCACGAGGTAGGAGGTGCCAGATTACATCTGTATAGGTTTCCTATTACTGTAGTCTTCTTAGCAATGGAATATCTAGTACAATGGAGAGTATTGTGAGATGTCTTATGTATTGTGTTATAGGTCATGAGTCTAGGTTATAGTCCATATTTGTTTCATGATTATATCATTAATTGTGGCCACAGTAATAGTAATAGCCTGTGGGCTACATTGCTTGCTGTTGATGATGTTTTTATTATTTTGCCTTAAAGGTATAATTACAGCTGATTTTGATTGTGGTAACTAAATTAATTTCTAATAATAATTGTCACTGTAACATGTTTCATTGTAGCTCCTTGATCAGGGGTGGTATATCACACTGGAGTAGGCGCCAGTTTCCAGCTTCACAGGTTTCATATTGTCAGTCATAGCAACTGAATGCATTGTAAGATAGATTATTGTAAATTTTCATGGAGTTTTATTATTGTGTTATAGATAATGATCCAAGGTTATAATTGTTCTGATGATAACTATATCTCATTAATTATGGCCGCAGTAACTATATTTTTACTCATTATTAGAAGTGATGTTCATCACATTATAGGAAGAATGAAGCTCAAGTATTTGAATTGTTTTGCCTTGTTGAATGCTCAACAATATTTGAGCATTTTTATTGTAATTTCTATTTTGGCTAATTTATGGTGAAATATAACTGACTTTTTATCGTGGTATTTTAATGAGGTTATCTTTCTACATTTAATTAATAAAAGTTATAGTTCTTGGTCGATGTATTCCTCCTGACCATGTGGCCTCTTGAAGGCCTAGGTCTTGAAAGATTATTGTACTAAAGTAAAAAAGAGGGGGACAGGTGATAATAGCGGTACAGCAGGTTACATGTGTTACTAAATCTTACAATTTGACGGTTAATTTGGTAAAGTTGCCATATAGTATTTAACCTCTGCTGTTGCAGAGCTGCCATTCCAGGGCCTCCAGCTACTGCAGGTGGACCTGGATGGAGTGCAGGAGCTGGTGGAGGTTGCAGGCAAGGAATTGCTGGAGGTGGTGCTCCTCCAGCTAAAGGGATTGCGAGAGGTAGTGGTGGTGATGGCGGTAGTGGGTCTTCAGGAGGTGGTGTTGGAGGCCCTCCATCTCCAGCTAATGGTGGTGGTGGCGGGCCTCCAGCAAAAGGGATTGCTGGAGGTGGGTGGTGGCGGTAGTGGGTCTCCTGGAGGTGGTGGTGGAGGCCCTCCATCTCCAGCTACTGGTGGTTGCGGAGGAGGAACACCATGCTCATAATCATGCATAAACTACCAACAAATAAAGAAATATAATGATAGCTAAAATAAGTTTCTAACTGAACTGACTCGCTGCTTTTTCATAAGAGGTTGACAACTGCCAATAAAGTTGAAAGCTGTGAGTAGACTGAGTGGATAAATGGCAACTGAAGCTGAATGTAACCTTTAATAGTTTCAGAATCTTAGTATTGGTCAATAATGATTAATAAAATAATAAGCTAGGCTATGAATATAATTACTGCTTCAAAAATTCAAAAATAATGTTTTTTAAATGTAGTAGGCTCTTATGGTTCCAATTTCAAAATTCCTTTCTGCCAGTATTGAACTGATACCTAAGGCAAAAGTTATTATCATTAAAATGATCATTAAGTAATAAATTCAATAAAAAGTATGGAAACAAATAAATAAATCTCTTGAATTAGAAAAGTAGCGTAGTCAAAAAATGAAAGAAACAAGGTGGTTGAGTTCAATCACAATAATAATAATTACTTCAATTATGAAAAATAAACATTAATTAATAAAACAATTATTTGTAATTCAAATTAAAATTAAACGGGTTAAAAACTCATACACTTAGATGTAGGAAAAGAATTATTAGGTTGTTATTTTAAAAATAAGTCAATAGTTGATAGGAGTCAATAGAAGTGTAATGGGTTGATCCCAGTGCCATCTTCAGTATGAAGACCTCTCCACTTTGATTTGGATCCTGTTAGACAAAGATTGGTAGCTCTAATAAGGGCGAACAATAGTCTAGCTCTAATCCAGTTAAGTGTGGTTGAATACTGGAGATCCCACTTGATTGTGAGCCTGTCAGTAAGTCTACCCATAAAGTGTCTTATCTCGTTACCTACAAGTCCATCGATTGTTATGCATAAGGGAGTAAAACTGGAGTGCTTTGAATCACAGGCCTAGGTATATTTAAGTTTCTTGTATCTTTCAGCAGTATGTAGAACAGCATCTGGTGATTTTGAGAGGTAAAAAGGAGCATCGGAATCAATTGCACTAATATCAAAAATAGCCATAGATTGAGGATTCCAGACACCTCTAGCACCAATGTCACATACCAGAGCTGTAACTGGAGGGGATACAGTTGCAATGGACTCTTTAACAGTCTCACTCCAAACTATACACATCAGGTGATATAAAAGGTCTTTGAATTTATTGTGCCTTTCGATTACATTCTGCAATCCAGTGCATGTGATGTACTAAAGATAGAGCCACATCCATCACAATTAGAGGGGATGTGAGACAGTGGTTTGAAATACCGGAGACTTAATGCATTCCTAATTTCACAGGAAGACAAACCAAAACCATCTAAATGTATGGGGGCAGTGGTGAGCCAGGTGGATTGAAACTTTTGGTTCCTGAGTAGACTCCTCTGACCAATCGAATCTGAGTTCTCAAAAATATTTTACCAGATAAACTTTTTAAGGTCATCTGTCCTCGACAGGTGATCAAGTCTTGCTTTGTTAACCAAATCGAGATGCTCAGAAATAGAAAAATCAATCTGACCCTTTAGAGCTTCAATCAATAAACTGGTTGCATTATTATTCATAAAAATAAAATAAAAATTTTTTGCAGAATTTTATGAAGAAGTATTCATTCCTTTAACATAAATTTTAATGAAAGAATGACAACCCAACTGCTTAGACGAATGCAGCCTACGCAAGCATGGCGAGTCCAATGACAATCCTAAGAAATTCATTCCTTAATTTTTAATTTTGCATAGTGGTACTGAATCACAAACATTAAAGCATGCAATAGCTAAATAACTAATCCACAATTTTGATCTTTCATTCTGATGACAGTAATCTATTCAATCAATAAATTGCTGAAAGGCTAATTTATATCTATCACATTAATTATTAATTTACATCACTGCAATGTATAGTAGAGCAATCAAATGGTATATATATATATATAATATACAGAGGGAGATTATTATTTAAATGAAAATTCTATCCACATTTTCAATTATCATTTTCAGCAAAGTAGGGTTAAAATATTTCTATTTTTTTATGAATAATTTTTTTATTAATAACGTTTATTATTAAGAATTGAACTAATTATTATTATTATTATTGAACTCAACCCCCTTGTTTTTTTCCTTTTTTGACAACCCTACCTTTTCTTATTTAATAGAAATTTTTTTTTATTTACTTGTTATAATTGCAATCAATGACCATCTATCTTAATGCATTGCACTTATTTAACCTCTTTCAGGATTATTGGTTGCTTTAATAGAACTTTAAGTGACAATAGTAATGGAATGTGATTCACAAAAATAGGTGCACAAGTCAAATGAGGCCTGGTGATATGGTTTTTAAGACTTGTCCTTCTGCCAAGTACCCTTCTTTCAGGTTCCTGTAACAACAAGGAATAAAACATAACAAATTGTCTAGTTTTAAGGAAAAAGATAACCAAAAAATTCAAGTAATTTTTGTAGAACTGTTCTTGCTAATATTGTGAATCCAATTGTCTAAATGGATGGGTTATGAAAGGATCAGAGAATTCTTCAATTTTAAAAATCAAACCATTAGTCTGTAAAACTTGTGAAACATGTGTTTGAAGATGAGAGACTATCAGTTGCATCAGAAAAGATACATCATTGACTAGACCATTAAAGCAGTCGAGATACCTTCCTTACTTCCTTCAACTTAATCAAAAATGTTGTTATTTGACAAAGGTGGACTGACTGCTGTGAAACTTCAAAAGATTTAACACCATTTCCAGTGACGATGACATCACAATTGTCAGATACTTCATCATTGTCATCAACTGTTACAAAATCATTACTTTCACCTTCGATTGCAGCAATATTAAAATTTACCACAAAATTATCAGCAAAATTAGACCTAGGACATGTGCTTCCTATAGACATGTTTTTGAAAGAATAAAAATTAAAGTAAGATTTTGAGCATTTTTGAATGCCACAAATGACATGAAAACAAGGATCAAAAGCATGTGTTGCTGCCATGTGCTTGACAACACCTTTTAGATATGGGTATGCAGCTTTACAACAAATCCAGCACAAACATCTTGGTAGGCTTTTACCTGGTTTATAATTTTTCTAGGTCAATAAGTGACCAAAAAGTTTTAAACTCTCCCGTCACTTTTGACCATGAAAAATCTGATTATAAATAGTTAATAAACTATCATGGCAGGTTCAAGAAAGGAGACGAAATTGACCACTTTAAATGTTACTGTTCATATTGGTGATGGACAAAAGCGCAGCATGCTATTTCATCGTGGTCAGGTTTTTAAGATGACTGATTCTTTCAAGCAATCTTCACCAACTCAAGAGAGTACTAGTGACACTGGTTTTAATGGTGTAGACCTGGGTGAAGCCTCCATTTCATGGAATGATCAGACATCATTTCTTTCTTTATAGACAATGTTTAGTGCAGAGGCTTGGATAAAAATATGTGGTACATTAATGAGGAATGTATAATGCTATGCCATAGGTACATTAATGAGAATAATAGTAAAAGTTAATGCAATGCCATATAACCAAGACTGTCATTTGTCTGCATACATTGGCATCTTTTTATTGTACTGATTGTGGCCCTGTTGAATAGTTCTGTAAGGATACTATTCATAATACAGCATGTGTCTTACATATGCCAGAAGAATGGAAGGTAATACACATGTACATGTATGTTACATTAAGTAAACCCCTATCTAGCTCCCACAGTTGACATTTTCTTTTAAATTATAATCTAAATTTCCTCTAGAGGATGGAACGTTTATTCCTATCACTTTTAAAGTGACAATTGATGCTCGTTTCTATAGGTGTAGTTGTAATGCTAAAATAGAAATTCCTTTGTGTGTTTTAGATGTTAATAATTATTGTCAAATGGTTCTCATAAAATAATTCATATGCTACATACATGTACATGTGCAGAAATTAAGCATGAAGTTTGTTTTATTTATTGTAACTGTGAAAGTATAGTCGAGGCTACGGTACGTGTTAGACTATGGCCTTCATCTCCCTCTCATCCACAGACAGCTTATTCTTTTAAGTTATTAGATTGGATGAAAGCACTTTTGTTAGAGTGTCAAGTTGCTTTAAAAGACTTTTTATATGCTCTCTATTTTAAGTGCCCTCACTTTAAAAGACTGTACTTTATGTCACAATTGACACTGCTAGAATTTTGCAGAAATGAGATGTCTATGCCTCTTTATTTGATTCATTTGAAGAGTACAGGTAAAGCATTCGTTAACAATAGGTGTAATTGTATTCCATCACTATTATGTTGTCTCACTTTATTCTACTCATTCACTTTGTTTTTTATTGTGTTCTCACTGACTAACAAATTGGAACATGGCTCTACATTAACTCTATGACCTATCCTGTTTGAATTCTTTTTATTACTTATTATCCTCAATTTATAAAGCATTCTAACTATGGACACTTCACCTTCTCCATTTTTTTGACTTTTATTATTTTGTTATTATTTTATTATTATTATTGTTATTTGGTTTTATTATTGTTATTATTGATATAAAAATTATATACACAATTATTATTTTATTATTATTATTTATCATTACCGTACAGCGGGAAAGTTTGAATGGGCTAAAGTTTAGTATACTGGTAAATTTTGGTGAGTATCGGATTTAATTTGGCAAATTTGTGGCCATGTGCCATTGAGCATGAGTATTATGGCTTAAAATGGAGATTTGTATTTTTGTGAATGGCTATCAAAATGCCAAATTCACCAAATTTAATTTCCTGCAAAATTTCCCACTATACGTTATTATAATAACCTTTTTTGTCTTTTTAGTGAAATTTGTATTGTTGATTGCTGTAGAGATATGAAAAAAGAATTATGAAATTTATCATTTTTCCTGAAGATATAGATAGTGAAAATATTTGTCTTGCTTGCCCCAAAGTATAGTTTTAATAGTAACAATAGCAG